AAACCCATTAGGGTGTTCCATATATATCTCTTTATCGAAATCCCCACTTAGAAAAACGGTCTTGGCATCCATTTGATGTATTACTAAATTATGGATAGATGCTAGGGCTACTAATATTCTAATGGTAGTAATACTAATCACAGACAAGTATGTATCAAAATAATCTATCCCTTTCTTTTGAGTAAATTTTTTAGCAACCAATCTAACTTTATATTTATTTATACTCCCATCAGATTTTAGTTTTTTCTTAAATACTCACTTACACCCAATAGCTTTGCTTCTAGGAGACAATTCTACTATCTTCCTAGTATTATTAAGCAATATAAATTCAATTTCACTATTAATAGCCTCCTTCCAAGAAGGTGCATCTATAGAGGACATAACTTATTTATATGTCGTTGGCTCTTCTTCTACTAGAAAAGTAAAAAATCTTTCTCCTAAGTTCTTCTCTATTATAGGTCTTTTACTTTTCCTTAGCTCTACATGTTGTTTTATATTTTTTTCTATGGGAGCAATAGAACTAATAGAAAGCTAATCATTAGTTGAAGGTGTTTCTTTTACTTAACTAGGCATTGTATTTTTAAAAGGAAAAATATCTTCAAAAAATGTAGCATCTCTAGATTTAATTGTAGTATTGTTTGACAAAAATTTTGACCACTAAATTTTTCGGGTTTGACACTATTAGTTTCTTCTAGTTTAGTCATCCTTAATTTAGAATTCAAGATCAAATAAATAATAAGAGATATGCAAAGAACTTGTATTGAATTAAATGTCAACTATCCAAACTCTATTTGTAACGAAATTAAGAAAGATCTTTAAATTATTGTAATAGTTCCTACAACTATTATTTTTTTTCTCAAAGCAAGTGGCTGTTTTTTTTTAAAGCAAGTAGTTACTGGTTTTTTTTAAAAAAAATTTCTAGCCTCTCTAAAAGAGTTTGGTTTGTTTTTTGTTTAAAAAATAAACTATTCTCAGAAAAAACGTGTTTTTTTAACTCAAAACTGTTTCTATTTATCAGAAAAACTGTTTTTCCAAAAAAATTCACAAAACTCCTTCTACAAAAAATTTTATTTTATTTTCTAGAAAACTGTTACTATTTTTTTTTCAAAAACAAACAATTTTTTTAAAATAATGGAAAAAAGTTCAGCTGCTTTAGAATATAAAACAAAATTTATATATTGTGTATATTTTCTTACAAAATGTCAACACGAAATAGGACCTTTAAACGATAGAATTTTCATATATATATATATAGAAAGAGTTGGTCTGCGAGTTTAAGAGGCGTGTGATTATTGTTCTAAAGCAACTGAGTCTCCTCACGTGAGGGTACTGACAGATACAACAACTCCAAGATTCAAGTCAAACGTTAGTAGTATTACCTTCTCAATGATCACGTCCACTTAAAGATTAAAATGAACTTTACTCGAATCGAGTTTTTTTAAAAATAAAATAATAAATAATAATTAAAAATATATAAATTAATATTGCCAACTGTTAAAAGATTGAAATGATCACATCAATTGATAGGATTACTAGAGTGTTGAATTTGTTGCTTTTTAAAAGATATTTTAAAGGCAATTTATATAGCTACTGTGTGCGGCCTATGATACTTTTAATATTTTTGTGTACGGCCGACAATGATGACTTTTAATATTTTTGACCGTTTAGTCTACGCATGTATAACTTACAAATCACATCTTTTCAATGTTTTTTACTGTTTGGCAGGTCTCGAATAACATAAAACTAATTTTAAGGTCAATAACTATTATTCTTGAATATGCACATTAAATATGACTAAAAAATTTATAACAAAAATTTATAATTTAAATATAATTAAAATAAAAAATCAATAAAAACTCTTTAGGCAGAATTCTCTCCGCACACATCATTTTCTCATCAATCTGGTGGCATTATTAAAACAAAGTACAAGCAAGAAATAAATCATAAAAGACAAAAAATATTAAAATTTTAAATAAATGAACCTGGTCAAATTTAACATGGGCCCACTTTCCCAAATATTTAAAAAAACAAACATGGACCATCTCAATTTTTTGATTCATACCTAACCACTTACTCTAACAGAGTAAGGATCAGATGGACACTTATAAATACACATACCCGAAACTATCCGATGTAGGATAGCCTAGTTCTCCGACACCTCGACATAATTACTATGATGGGAGGGCCGAACGGCCGATGGACCATCTCAATTAATAGTGCATTATTAACAATTAAATTGACCTTCTGACATATTCTTGCAAAACATTTTTGATTTTTGTTGCCCTTTGAGTTCAAAATGTAAATGAGATAAAACACCTATTTCCATTTCTGGATGCTAGCAGCACCTCTGACTTTTACTAGGAGTTTTTTGGTGCTGGTGGTGGTGCTGGTGGTGGTGGGGGTGTTGGAAGTGACCGGCCAGTGGGGACAAAAATGAACCTCTGAGAAAAAAATTTAAATTTGAACCATATGAGATGGAGCATAATCATTACATAAGAAAATTTGGATGTTGATACCACATGTTCCATGGGGTCACCTTGATACAGCCAACTAAGTAGAAAATGAGTGGCATATATACCCCACTGAATTGAGAAAATAGTCTGTGCTTACGAGGTACCAAGCTGGCACACACATCTGACACTCAACACCAATGAAACAAGTAAGCAAACATAATAAAATAACTCAGCATTATGTTTTTTTTTGTTGTTGGTTTCTCTGTTCTTTGCGTGTCCACCATTTTTACAGCTCTGGTCCATTGAATATTTTTTCTATCTTTTGTTGGATCTCTGTACGTCATGCCTAGATGTATATGCGGTTTGTGTTTTTATTCTATATTTTTATAGTTTCACCATAACTTATGGTACTAGTACCAAAAAAAAAAAAAAAAAAAGAGTAGTATTATATATTTCAAATTTGCAACTGAAATTTGAATTTCAAATCAAAGAAGATCATTGAATCAGTGGATCTCACAAATCCAAGTTCCTCTTTAATTTGGGATACAATTTGAGTTACAAATTTTGAGATACATATCATTACTCAAAAAGAAGTATATCCATGGTTGACGAAATTTTGAGTTGGACACCTTCAAAGCTTTAATGGTGTGGACGAAGAGAACTTATTTTTTTTTCCCTACAAAATGAGTTGGAGAATTTCGTTGTAAAGAGTAATTTTTTTTTGGTTTGATCTGAAAGAGTTGTTGGATACTTCTATTTCATAAGCTAAGCTTACATTGATCTGGTATTAGTTTTTGTTTTTTTTTTTTTTTTTTTGGGGGGGGGGGTATATTGGTTAGCACTCTTTTTCCTGTCATGTCTTTGTTTTTTTTTTTTTTTTTTCCCTGAGCAAGTCATTCTTTTTTTATGACCAAATAAACCCACTAATTTTCTGTTTAATCAAATCACACGTATCCAGTTGTACAAAAGTTTTTCATTTACTTGATATCGTTGCTAAAATTTAATGAATAACTGCTTAAAAATAAAAGCAATAATTATAAATTAGAATCAAGGTGATAACAAAATTGATGAATTTATTAATAAAAATAATCATTGATTTTTTTTTCCAAAAAAAAATAGAATACAATGTACAAATATTTATTTTTTTCAAATCAAAACACTGTAAAAAAGACTTGAGACATGTGGGTCGTGTCACCGGTTGAGCTTCAAATAGTAGCTCAACAGACTCGTCCTTTCACCTCACCCACCAGTTGAACAAGCAATGACCACTTATTCGGTCGATCCATTCTGCTGATGTGTCAACTTCTTGGACTATTTGTTGAAATGACTTTTTCTAATTAATGTTGAGTACACAACTTGCATGCCAGCTTGGTGCCCTCAAACCATCGACTATTAGTTATGTGGGGTTTTAGATGACGAGGATGATGTCCATTTGAACTGTGTAATGGACAGGAATTTTATGGGTGGAATTCATGTGATTGTCGGAAACTATGTGGAGCTTCACATGGTGATTAATGTTAATGTTTGTCGTGTATTGGTATTGGTATTGGTATTGGTAGTGGTAGTAATATTAATTTTATTTGATTCGAATCCTATTTGATACGGCATCTTTTACGTCGGCACTGATAAATTATTTTGCTGTGACAGTCAGTCTCACTCGATTAATAAATTGATAGAGAAATATCTCAAACGATCAGATATAATTGTATCATTTTGCGACGCAAAGATACAACATTAATTTCTCGTCAAATTTATCTTATTCTATCTAATATTTTGTGTGGTACCTAATATCATTTCATTTTGCAAAGCCACAATTGATGTATTTAAATACTTTCCAAGTTGATTTATTTTTTAAATTGTCAAATTTAATTTGCCTTAATAGGATAATTCTTAAAAGTTTCTCTTACATGATCTATCATTTTCCTACGTCTCTCAACCACACTTTCTTTCTACTAGATACTATAACAATAAATTTAGTGCTTACGAAACTTTTCCTCATCGAGTAGTATATTTTTTAAATTCAAATTATTTAATAATAATGTACTTATATCATCAAATTAAATCATTACTAAAACATAGAAAAAAAAATTAGAGGTAACTTTATATCTCATTATAATCGCTTAAACAATCACGATTTTAGAACTTCGCATTAGTTCAAATAGATAAAGTCTTATGAATCTTAATTATATTTAAACTTTGACACGTCCATAATTTGAAAATACGGCAAACACTCCAAAAAATTATAATTTAACTATCAAAGATGTTATAATTTAAACTATAAAAATTATAAGTTGACCCCAAAAATTTGTAAATTTTTTAGGATCAATCATTCTTTTTTTTTTGGTTATAATTATACCCAAAAATTTATGTCTTAGTCCACTAATATTATAAGAATAATGCTATTCGACCTAATCACGTGATTTCATCGGAAGATTAACAAATAAAATTAATTAATTAATTCGGAATAGTATTTTTCATATTCATCACCATCACCTCTGTTTATATCAAGTTCCAGGGGTTCAGAAGGGTTTGGTAAGGCCAGTAAAGATGGCCAGTTCGAGACCACTACTCTCTAAGTCTGATTCAGCTCAAAAACTTCCATCTCTAGACGACTTGATCGAACAATACATAGGAAACTTCGGATGGGCACAGTTCTTCCAATCCTTCCTTCTCTCCATGGCCTGGTTCTTCGATGCCCAACAAACATTCATCACCATCTTCTCCGATAAACAACCTACATGGCACTGCACCGATCAACTCACTTGCAACTCCGAATCTGACTTATGCAACCTCTCAAACACTTCATGGTCATGGGACGACCCTATTTACACCTCCACCGTATCAGAATGGAACCTTCAGTGTTCAAACTCAATCATCGCCGGCCTTCCCTCGTCGGCCTACTTCTTGGGTTGTGTGTTCGGAGGCCTCTTCTTGACAACAATGGCGGACACGTCTCTGGGTCGAAAGAAATTATTGCTACTATCATGTTTAGCCATGTCTATAGCTTCGCTTTTGACTGTGTTGTCCACTAACATTTGGGTCTACACAGTATTGAGATTCATCACCGGTTGTGGCCGGTCTTCGGTCGGAGGTTGTGCTCTGGTTTTAGTATCGGAGATCATCGGGAAACGGCACAGAGGCCAAGCGGGTACAATTGGTTTTCTTTGGTTCACACTCGGTTTTCTTTCTTTACCTGGTATAGCTTATCTGAACCGAGGTCATTCATGGCGGACTATATATCTATTCACTTCCATTCCTGGAATTCTATTCTGTGTACCAGTTTATCTATACGTTTGCGAATCACCCAGATGGCTTCTTATGCAAGGACGCGAAGAAGAAGCTGTTGAGACATTGAAAAAAATGGCAACACCCAGCTGTGGAGTGAGAGAATTGTCCTTTGCGAAAGGGAAGAGGGAAATTGAGAGGATTGATTTCTTCTCTGCAATCAAGATGTTGTTGCAGAAGAGATGGGCTGCTCAACGATTACTCGCCGCCATGGTACTGTTGAAATAAAATAAAGTTTTTAAAGTTTTAAATAATTTTTATTTATTTATTTTTTTGTTGCATTTGATTTAATGGAGTACTTTTAATTTGGTTTTTAATGAATTAAAAAATTAATTTTTAATTAGCTGATTAACTCAATTTTCTTAGAGGTTAATTATTCTTTAGTTGTATAAATATTGTCGAGATCTGAATTGAATTTTGAACTCGTTATCCATTTACATCATGATGTTTAACGACAAAGCTATTAATATCATACATTGGTGTTTGAGTTTGGATGATACACACTCTCTCTCTCTCATTCTTCCACTTTTGTTAGTGAATGTTACGTGCTGAATGTTTATTATTATTTTTAGTATTTTTTTACTTAAAATTTGCAGTTTCGATATCATTTTATTATTGTTCAATGTTATGTGTTAATTATGCTGTTGTTATTTTTGATACTTTTTTACTTATATATTTGTATGATTTTATAGACGTGAAAATATTTAAATGTTAAAAAAAAATTTACAAGTCGTAGAAATTCAAAACCAAGCTAATCACAAAAACAAAAAAAAAAAAAACAATTCAAAGTTAGGCTAATCATCAATAAAAATATAACAAATGATACCTGATGGTGCTCGAAATTTATGCCTCAAGCCAAACTATGATGGGATGATGTTCCGAGCTAGTTTCGCTAGTTATGAATTAATCTTTTTTGATTAGTTACATAGGGAATATAAGTGATTTATCTTAACTGATGGACTAAGGCTACATCTACTATCAATGGAGTCTTTTGCTCGCTGAGTTTGTATATTCATCAATCGGAGGTGTGCCTCTTATAACTGGGGACTCGAAGTCCACTTACAAAGGATGAGTGTCTAGGTGTTCTCTCTTAGTTTTCTATGCTTTTAGGCTCTTGAATGCTTTCTGGTTCGGAGGAGAGGATGCTCTCGCCAGGTTATTGTTCTCTATTTATATTAGTCTCTCCTAGGGTTTTTCAGCTGTCCTTCCCTTCGTATTGATCCCTCTTGTCCTTTCCTTTGTCCCTTCCTGCTTCTTCTGTTATCACAATCACTGTTTTTCCGACGCTCCTGTTCATCTGGCGTTGCCGTCGCCACGATCTCTGGTGGCCTGGCTCTCCACCTTCTGTGAGATTGTCGTAGGTGTCAGGAATGGTCCTCTCGGCCCCTATGATGCGTGGTCTCCACTGGCGATCTAGAAGTAGCTTGGACTGGGCTTTCAATTTTCAAACCACTTTACAGTTTGGACTAGGCCTGAATTGTGGGGTTATAGGCCTTCTGTCAATGCTAAGTTCTCGCTCCAAGCTTTTTGGGCTGGTCAGGCTTCTGGGCCATCAAAGCTTTGATCTTAAGTTTCATTCGTATCAATACCAATAGCAAAAGAAAAAAAAAATTCAAAACCAAACTAATTACCAATAACAAAATTAGTGAAACCAATAAAAAATAATATTTAATACCAACTATAAAATTTTTTTCCAAGTTATAGACATTCAAACCCAAGCTAACAAAGCCAAATATTTTATTTGCTAAATTTTATTTTATGGTTTTTAATGTCGTAGACATTTAGAGCTAAGTTAATCACCAATAAAAAAAATAAAAAAATTCAAAGCCAAAGTAATCACCAATTAAAAATAAATAAAAGTGAAACCAATTGCACCAAAAAAAAAAACTAAATTCAAAGTCAAGCTAATCACCAATAAAAAAATAACAAGTGATACCAATTGCATCAAAAAAATTCAAAGTCAAATTAATTACCAATAACAAAATAACAAGTGATTGAGTTTATAATTATATTATGTTATTAGATTGGATGGTAACAATTGTGATAAATTCATGTCTTATAAATGAGAAATATTTTGTTTATAGTTTAAAATTTGTAAATTTTATTAGGTCCTATTAGTATTTATTTATTTTTTTGAGGTATTTGTATATATGATGTTATTTTGAGAAGTTTTTAATACATTTTGTGATAGTTCTATTAATATGGAAGATATGATCGACAACATATTTTAGGTCATTTAAAAAGAGTTGGTATGAATATTATTTATAATATTTTTAGACACGAATAATGACTAGTACGTTAACTTTCTCACTGCATCAAGCTTTTTGGGCTAACAGCTGAACAACACAATTTCTTGAAGGCCCAAATTAGGCTTTGACTCTATCAATTACTACTTTTTTTTTTCACCTCAACTATCATATTTTTTATATTATACCCTCAAATATGTGATTAGTATCATATTGTCTCAATTATTAACATCTTTTACATATTTAATAGAAATTATTTCATTTTTTCCTTTGAACCATGTAATTTTTTTTTTTTTTATCTCAACACATCAGTAATTTTTACCTAAAAAAAATGAACGTTTGCGATTGGGACAATGTGAAATAATCAAAGTAGCTAAAGGGATAATGTGAAAGTTTCAATAGTTTAAGGGATAATGTGAAATTTTTAATAGTTTAAGGGGTAAAGTATAATTTAGTCCATAGTTTTCAAAGTATAATTTACCCTATTTTATATTTTGTTAATATCATATGCTTAGAATTTGAATTATGTTTTTGCTGTATTATTCTACTAGAAATAACACCTCCTATAAACACGATGAGACATTTATTTTTTTTTGGGGGGAAGGGGCTTGAACTTTTGACTTCAAGCTGCTTCATAAGGTAAGATAAAGAGTATCATTGGAGCAAAAGATCATTAGTCACTGTCAGACATAAAACTTGTGCATTTAAAAAATTGATCTCACTTTATCATATACACATTTCTTAAAATTAATTTATAAATAAAGTTTTTTCAAAAACATGATCTTAAAAAAATATCAACACGTGTACACTTTTTCATATGAGTAATATTCAAATAAAAATAATATTGAGTTATAAATTAATTAAAAATTAAATAATTTAACTTGCCATAGAAATGAATACGTGGGGATAAAATTCAAACTGACCTTTTTTTTTTGGCAAATTTCCTTTAACAGGTAGTTGGTTTTGGAGTTGGCATAGTTTACTTTGGCTTGCCACTGGGTATTCAAAACTTATCAGTTGATCTCTATCTGGGTGTAACCCTCAATGCTTTAATGGAGATTCCGGCAGTCTTGGTCTCCTTTCTTCATCGGAAAATGGGCAGAGAAAGACTTCATTGCTTGTGTTCAACACCCTA